TTAATTTATGCTGATTTTTACTAGAATTCAGTTCGAACCAAGGTTTTCATTTACGCTGTCTTAAATTCTGATTTTAACAGTTACATTTTTTGTAAATTCATGAAAACAATTTCGAGAGAAATCCCTGAACAATTTCTCATGAGAGAAAATTCACTTAAGAGAAAAAAGACTAACATCTCATGAACAACATCTTTTCATCCCTCTAGTTTTATTGGCATAAAAAAACTAGCATATTAAGAACCATTTGAATTGATCATAAAACTGGAAATTGGGTCCGGTACTGGCAACGAGCTCTCGATAATACGATGATTCTGATGGTTTTAATTTAGATGGTTTTAATAAAGAATGTCCATTGGATCTTCCAATCATAAATGCGGCAACTTGCAGCAAAAGATAACTCGCAGCGCGATAAAAGACATCAATTACAAACTTTCCATTTCAGCAACGACTACCAGTGGACCAGAATCTCGAATCTCGAAAACAGCATTTTAAAAGATTTTAAATTCGCTGTAGTTCCAAAACTGCCAGTGTCTACTCCCGTTGGTTTGTCACAATATGGCACCAATAAATGTGGATAAAACAGTATCATATGATAAACTTCCTACTGAGCCGTATTTGACAATAACACTGAAACTGACATTCCTCCTCCTCAGTTCCCTTCGCTGCATTTTACAAATGATAATTTCAAGGGGGCATTCGTTTTAAAAAAACGGTATTTATTCAGCCAAGTTTTTCAAAAATTGCTTTTAAACGGCATTTTTCCTGTCGTTTTGGCTGGGCTCGAAAAAAGGGAAAGGATTGCCTTTTAAAATGTTCACTAAGTTACTCAAAAACAGCTCTCCCAGGAAAAAGTTCTGCGGACGCCACTGGAGGTGAAATAGGTACAATGACAACTCGCAACAAAAGACAAGAGAGCAAGAAAAAAGACAACTAGCATGAAAAGACAACTAGCAAGAAAAGACAACTAGCAAGAAAAGACAACTAGCAAGAAAAGACAAGTTTCAGGAAAGCGACAACTGGCAAAGTTTTAAAATTCAATTACTACAACGTAAGAATTTTAGCTTCAGATCGCCGGTGGTCTAAATTTTGCATAAAGTCATAACCTCTGTTGGCAAGCTCGCAACAGAAAACCGGCTCTAAAATTTGCATAAATTTTGTTGGCAAGCTCGCTACACGTTGACGCGGCTGAGTCTTTTGCGAGTTGTCTGTTGAAATATACCTTTTTTGCGTTTTTTTTCTCCTGATCAATTTCGCTGATCAAAAATTAGTAGTTAATACTAAAAGTTTGTTATTTTCTTGAGTTTATGTCCTGATAACAAACCTGCGAATTTAAATAGCTAAGGCCGCTCCCAAAATTCTAACTAAGGCCGCTCCCAAAAGCCGCTCTCATGGCCGCTCCCAAAATTCTTAAAAATCAAAGGAAAAATTAAAATTCTGATACAAATATTCATAACTTACAAAATTTTGAGGGACGGAGGTTTTAAAAAAAAACGACTAATTTTTTGAAAACTAAAAACTAGTTTGGACGTTTTCAAGTCAATCGGATGAGTTGCCGTTTTCAAACCGATTTAAGTAATCTTACTCCCATCCAGCATTTTTTTCTCGTATTCAGATTAATAGGAAATCATTTACTTGAAAAATCAGCTGTACGAGCACACCTGCCTACAGACAAGGGTCAAAATTATTACAAGCTGAAGTTTTCAAACGCACAGATGAACAAGAACGTTTTTCATATTTTTATTCTTTTCTCAGCGAGTATTTTATATAAGGTAAAAGGTTGAAAAACTGACACAAGGTAGATGAAACGTTTGAAAAGGATCTGGCTGCTTGGAAATTTGAAGAATTTTGTTTTGGAGGCGTCAAAACGTTCATGCAGTGAAACCTGAGACATCCATATAAACCACGCAATAAATTGTTTTTGTTTTGGAAGCTGATTAACTTAGCTTGCTCCTTGTACTACATAAAAGCGAAAAATAAAATGAACACAAGATAACTTCTCATGAAATTCTGACTAATAAAATCGCAGCACGTTTGCGCAGACAATTTAATCACCTCTATAATAATGATGCTCCTGCATATTTTTCGACGACTTGAGTAACCTAATTATTCAAAAAAGTACTCACATCAGTAATTTTGGCTCAAACTTGTGCAGTGTTCTGGAACTAGCTGCTCAATCATTGTAATAACTTGTTAATTTTTGAGCTGTTTTACGCAGGGCAAGGGGCAAGGCAAATTGAGCAGCTTTCCAACGAACAATTTTTAATCAATAAATTCAAAATCAACAAAACTGCTCGTATCAGGGCGTTATAATTCCTATAGACAATTTTAAAATAGAGCGATGTTTTTTGATTATTTTATTTATTTTAAAAAAATGAAAAAAAATTCAAAAATTATTTTTGATGTTTTATTGAAAATCACCCGCTACACGCTATGTAAAGTAGATAGTGATATATTTCGCATATAGCAAAGTGTTAAATCGACCAAAGAGCTTGCCTCAATCCAATTTGGAATGATATCCAAAACGGTTTAAATTTCCGCTTACGCGTTAATAGCACAAAAAATATCGCTCGTGCGTTAAGTGTCCCAATTGGCCAAATTGGCAATCTTTTAACCCATATAACTTTTTTAAAAAGTTTACAGGTGAAATATTTTTATGAGCTTAGGACAACAGTACCTTTCGAATGATTTTTTAAAAAATCCTTCAAAAATTGCCAGTTAAAAAGTCAAAATTTGTCTTGAGAAAAAAACCCACCCGAGAACAAATGTTCCGTCACTTCCTTAGAAAGTCGGGAAAATTAGTTGTTTACGAGAGGAGTTTTTCCGATTTTTAGAGAAAACTGATTATTTATGCTTGCTGTGGTTTTTTTAAATTATCCCGCACATCAAAATTGTTTCAAATTAAATTGCGGCTAGCTAATCGGTCGTATTAATTTCGTATGACTCAAATTTTCTTAGTTTATCTTTGATATTGTCCAAATTTTATAGATATTTAATTTTTTTCCCATAAACAATTCGATCTCGATTAAGGGGCAGTCGGAAAACTCAGCGCTTCGCCCTCATATACGAGCATTCTTGTTCTACAACAAAAATCACTAGCTTGATTGACTGGATGTTTACCGCTTCCAAAACATATTTTTTATCTGGCCAGATTCTTTCAAAATATCCAGCAGTCATGTGTCCCAATTTCAACCCTGTACTCTAAAAATTTGCCGATAAAACAAAAAAAAACTTGAAAAAAAGATGGTTCGTTTGGTCGTTGTAATAAAAAACGTGAAAAAAAGTTGTAATATTTTTGAGCACTGATTGTATTATAACTCTATATCAAGAGCCAGTTCAAAGCCTTTTTGCCGAAAGCATATTGATCTAAAATTATCGCTTTCTGCGCTCATTTGATACCTCCATGCTTTTAATATAGCGTTTGCTACCTTGAAAAAATTAAGTGTTCTAAAAAAGACATACGGGTTAAATGTTTTATTTATAGAAAAACTTTTTTGCCACTTATGGACAAACGAATACGCCACAATTTCAGTGAAAACAATTCCAGAAGTTGATAAATCAAATAGATTTATTTATGTCTTTCTTCTGAATTAGGCTACTTTTCTTGTTAGGCTAACCTAAAATAGATGCATAAATAATTGATTTGTCACATCAATTAATCAAATCGATTTTGTTATGATGATTTATCACAAGTATAAGACGGTCCATTACGTACAGATCTCAAAACGTGCATTTTTTCAAGGGTATCATTACGTATTATTTTGTAGTTGATGAGTTTTTGTGCGGCACTCAGTTTTTGGTTCAAGTCATTACAATTCGGGAGGGGGGGGGGGTTATTTCTGGGGTGACTGATAATTATTTTTGTGTTTGCGAACTCCACATTTCGGTTCCTAATTTTTGCAAACGTAATGGTTTTTAACTGAAAAAGCTCTAAAAAATGAGACTAGTCACCTTTTTAAATTTATCTCCCGTTGATTTTGCTTTATAATCTTGCTGCTTTTGCAAATCGAACTGCCTGCATCGCAGGCAAATATAATTGCATCTCAAAAGCGTCAATTAAACCCGTGTTTCCTTGGGCTGAGAAAAAGACGGTGGCATACATTTTTATCTGGGTTCGAAGTCTTTAAAACGAGGAAATACCACCTATTTTATGGAAAAGCTGGAAGCGCTCTGTGCTTTCAATCTATTTCTGCGGTCCAATTATATATGAAATTGGCCTCATTGAACGATATTTGTTCATTCATATTCATAACCGGGAAGGGAAAAGAAGAAAAAGAAGAAACGACCCCAAATTAATTTTGAACATCCGGCCGTAAATATAACCATTGAGACAAATATAAGTTTGAGCAGTTTGTTCTGATGAACAAAGTTAGCACATTGACAAATTCTCTACAAACCAATATGATCACAAGAACTAAACCTTGATAAACTTCACACCTTTTCGTATTTCCTGTGTTTTAAGACAGTTGATGCAGAATCAAATAGATACAAGAAGAAAGATGTGGATTGTCATTAAAAGCAGACATTCCACAACCATCCCCTCCCCCAAAATCTCCCCAACCCTTCATAAATCCCATTATGCCTTGGATACAAGTTCAATATTTTAAGAAAACCTGGTTTGGTTTCTTAGCAAGTTGGTTTTGCTCCTTAAACTACAGGTGGGAATTTCGAGATCTATTACAATAAATGTAAATGTATTTGAGGCCAAGACAACTTTAACTCGCGCAGAAGATTTCAACAAATATTAATAATAGGTTTCAACTTGGTAAGCATTTACAACTCCCGCTCAAAATCTCAGCGACTGGTTTTTTGATCTTTTTTTCCTCGAGGAAAAAATAATAATATTATATACTACTGGAAAAAGTACTGAGATTTTTTCTTCCAATTTCCCCACCCACTAAAAAAATAATAAAAGGCTGCAGTTTAGCATTGATATAACGTTTAAAAACAATGTTCAGTAGCATAAATGGCGTTAAAGCATGGTAATGAATAGGTGAACTTACTTTTCGTTCATGACAGCGTAGATGATGGGATTGAACGCGGTTGAGGTGCAGTAGATCCATGAAGCAGTCAGGGTCAGTTCTGCCTGGTAGGGGATCGGCCCATTGGACAGAATAGCGAACAGGTAGATCCCAAACAGAGGTGCCTTAGTGATGTCAAACACGAACACAACCAACGTCATCATCTTCACAGCCTGAACAAAAAGCAAAAATAAGGATAGCCACTTAGAACAATGCGAAGGAAAAGTTGGATCTACTAAAAATAGCCTTGATTTTTGGGCAAAGGAAAAAGCAAATTTTTATCGGCCCTGAGTAAAAAAAAACACCGCTAACTCCACAAGCTCTACAGAATCAGTACCATCCAGAAACAGTTTGAGTTAAAACACTGAGTCATAAAATTTGGAAAACCGAATAAGCAACAAATGAAAATTTAATGTCTTGGAAACTCTAGCGAACTTTGCCATAAATTTATGGAATATTTCAGGTTTTTCATATCTAAGAATGATTTAATCTCCGCTTATAATCATTATAACCGGAGGGTCAATCATTACAAAAAAATCTTTGTTTTTTTTCTAATGAATCATTTGTATTTTTGAAGTTTTAAAAACATGCAATTCTTTTTGTAAGCCAAGGCTTCCTATCAAAATGTTGACTTCCACACGTGGTTAAACTTGAGTACGCATAGGAATACAATAAAACAGATTTTCCTCGAAATTTTTGAGTTTTTTGATTTCCGGATCACGGCCAAAAAGCTATAATTTCTATAATTTATCACCAAAGTTAAAGCCCCTACGAGCTTTTCTTGGGGCGCTTAAAATTGAGAAAAATGTGCCATAGTTCCTAACAGTCCTTTTTAGCGATTAGGTCGGAACAACAAGTGGTTTGTATCAGTACTTGATCAATCAGGTGAACGTCATTTAGGCATTTGGTAGCCTGTCAAGTGATCTCTATAATTTTGTCTTCAAGCTTATAAATCAGTGGGAAAAATCTATATATTAGAAAATGAGTTCTAACCCATCCGCCAAAAAACCGCTGAATTAATACTTCACAATTAATCTTAAAACCCAGAAAAATCAATTAAATATGTATTATCGTTAAAGTTTGAAACCAGAATACCATGTGGCTAGTACCAACGCTTGATATCGGGTTTAGTTAACAATATAAATCCTTAAGAAAAACATTTTTCAATTTTAACAGGTGCAAATCAAAGATTTACTCGGAAAACATTTTCCCCAAAATTTTTCACCTTTTTAAGTAGAAAAATGATTTTCCAAATTTTCCCTAAGCAATCCCCCCTTCATTGGCTTTTTTCTACGATGATGCCTATTAAAAAATTGCGTCTATTTGGTGCGTTTACTCCTTAAAAGCTTTTATACACAGGCTCCAAATATATAGATATATATTATTATATATAGTTTGCCATTCCGGACCGGAGGACCTTCTCCCTGGGAAAAATTGAAAAAACATATTGAGCTTTTAAGTCCCTAGAGGACTGGAGTTTATATATCTCCTGTGGGAATTCATTCAGTTTTAGAGTCGCCATGGGACTGTGGTATTACTTCAACTCTTTCTCTGGATTTTGAATTCTTGTTTTCTGTTCCGTCTTATTTTGTGTTTTTTTCTCGTCCTCGTCCTCTTGATGTTTCGCATGATCCTCTGAAGGGATTTCCGTTGTTGTCACTTGTTGTATTCTGATTGTATGTGTGTCAATGGTGAATAGTACCTCACGCTGGTTTGACTGTGAATCCGTATTAGGACTGTGAATTGAGGTTATAAGATGTATCAGTTTTTTAAAGCTTCTGACTGCTTTTTTTCGGTATAGCGTCGATTGACGACTTCATCAAAAATTTTTATGATTCATTTGTGTGTCCTCAATTATATTTATGAATTTGGGTTTTCTAGCGCCCCTGTTGGAGCTGATTGTCTGGTTCTCGTCATTTTTCTTGGACCTCTGTTGTTTTCGATGACAGTGGAGTGTTCTTCTTGTTATGCCTTTTAGGCGATGGAGCGGTGTAGATTAAGTCTCTCTGATGTTGCTAAATTATTTGCAAATTCCGTGCTGCCTGTTGGTTGTTCTACCAGTTGCACGCGCATTCGCGGTGTGGGCTTTTTTGTGCCAGTCAACCGCCTGTTCTTTTTGCGTATCGTTTTGCCTAACATTTCTCCGAGCTGTCACGTGTTGTTTGCTCCTGTTTTTCTTTCTTCGTGAACTTCTTTGGCGTTGTATCCCCTTTGAACATGGGTTGTTTTGGCGCGTTTTGGTGTTCGATGTCTCAAATACTCAAACAAGGTCCTGTTCTCCGTGCGGATTAGTAAGCAACGTAATCACATAGCCGTGATGGTCTGCACGGTCCGTAAATCATTAGATGGGGAACGAAAGCAAGTTCACTTTTCTTAGTAAACGTGGTTGTTTTCCTCCCACGCTATCTTGTTTGTATGTAAGAAATTTGCCATCGCTTGTTTTTCACCTTTGTTCAAGTGTTATTGAAGCTTTTGTTTTTGTGGCTTTTCTTATTGCTTTTCTTGCTACTTGTTCTATTCGCTTTTTGATTTTATGATCTATTTGTCGTTGAATTCCCATGTATTTTCAATTTTTAACGTTCAATGGCTACTGTCCGCCTATTTTTCATAGCTGTTTCCTGATCATTCCTTCGTTGTCTTGTAATCTCTCTGGTCGTCGTTTGATCACCACATCATCTTCCAACCGTCGTTGGAGGTCATGCCTTACTTTTGCGGTAAGCAGCGGGTGCATCATGTTTTCCAATTTAAAAATGCCTGTTTTTCATTTTACCAATATAAATTATTTGGCGAATTGGTTGTTCCTCTGTTCGATAGAGGTTTGCTGATTTTTTTTTCGATAGAGTTTATGTGAACGTCGAATGGTGAAATTTTTGTTACTCCGTGGGCAGTAATTAAGAGTCTTTTTTTTTAAATTTCGGCAACATCCGACAATTGTTTTAATGTTTTGCTATTTTTTGTCTATTCTCTTTACCCCTAACCTGCGCTTTAAGGTTCGTTCTATCACTCCTATTGACCTCTGGTCGTCTAATGGGGCGAATATTTTTTTACCTTGTGTGTCCTACAAAAATTTGTGAAGTTGTTTGCCCTAAATGTTTGCGCCTGATGGCATCTTATTTTCCTTGGGAGGCGTTTTTGAAATGCATCTTTGCATAATTTTTATAGCAACGTCTACTGACGTGTTAGAAACTGCCTCATCTACAGGGAACTTTAACCACTTACCAATATATCAATAGCAACTAATATCTATGCGTCACTATTCAATTCGTCTGGGAGTAGTCCTTCAGAATTTCTTTTAGTTTCTTCGTTTTGTTCAACAAAGGTGGAAGTTGGATTGAGTGTTGTTTTCCAATTACAGGTTTTTATTTTTTCAAGGATTCGTTCATTTCCAGAAGTTTTGTGTCTTTTGTTTTACTGAGCGGTATATGTGCGGTAAGCATAAGTGTTGGCAGTGGTCGAGCATTGCGACAGATCCCGCATGGGTGAAGTGGATGCTCTGCAGTACTGTTTGTCAGATCTGTGTTTGTAGTGCGATGCGCTCCTCAATGAGTATGCAGTCGTCTTGGTGCGTGTCTGATTTTTCTACTTCTGTTTGAGCGGCAATTTTGTTAGCTTTTTTCGATTAAGTCGCTGTTGTGTGGCATTTGCTTGCACTTTCTGAGAGAACGCCTTTGAAAATGCTGTTTTTTTGTTCTCTGCGTTTTTTGTCAAAAGTTGCCTGGTTCTTTGATTTTGGTTTCTGTTGATGTGGAATCAGGTATATTTTAGTCCGTAACGTTGGACGATTCCATCGTTCATATGTTGTTACCGTTGTACTACGACGGTGCTATCATGTGTTGGAAAGGCTTTCTCTCCAATCAGAGTGCCCAATCCACTTTTCTTTATTTTGACTTCCGTTTTGGGTTTGGTTGAGAATTGAGGTACTGATACATCCTCGGTTTTGTGCACTGTTCAGGAGGAAGCCACACTTGAAAAGTTTCTAGCCAAACCTTTCTCTCATTATTTGCGAATTTTGGATTTTAATCAGATAGATGAATTGAGTTTTTCTAGTTTCCTGTTGAAAAACTGAGATCCTGTTGGTTGTGTTGCGTAAAAGAATGATCAATTTTGTGTTGACTTGTATGGTTTAATTTTTTTGGACTGTTTGAAACGAACTTGAGATTTCAAGTCTCTTGTCAGCTCTCTTTCATTTTTGGCGCGCTTTTCGACCAGTCGATACGGTGCGCTTTTCTGATTGGCTAGCTTGTTTAGAATGAGGTTGTCAATCATCTCAAGATTGAAAATGAGTAAGTTAATTGACGCCACTAGAAATTCATTCTAGTACACGCCCATTGCTAATCCAATTAGATTCCGCGACATATAGCTATTAATCCCTTTTTAGTTCCCGTCAAACGTTTAATGTCAAAATTAAAGAGGATAATCAGTCATTCCATCTTGTGAGCCGGTTTTGCTTTTTGGATCAGTCAGTTGCATTTGTTGGACTGATTAAGGCATGGTGGTTTGTAATGACGGGAAATTTTTTTTTGTTAACTTACTAACTAAAGTGTACAATGGCCCAAACGACCCCCAAAAATTGAAGTTCGGAACGTTTTTCCTCTAGTTGTTTTGGTGAAAAGGCGATTGCGTCCCAACCCTCATCAGTAATTTGTCCGAGTGCTGCCCCTAAGCCGAATGTTGATACATCGCATGCCACGCGTTTCTCTAAGTTTAGATCGAAGTGCTCGTTTTCTGAAAATGATGATAATATTTTAAGAACTTTTTCGAATGTCGTGGTAAGTTGGGTCTTCCAATCGAAATCTTTTTTATCTATGTTTTTCAATAGTGGGCACAGTGTTGCAGCAGCTTGAGCAGGAAAGTGTTTTTTGAGGTCGTGAATCAGGCCCATGAAGTTTTTTATTTGAATGAATGCTTTTGGTGCAGTTAGTTTTTTTTGCATCCATTTTTCTAGTATGTGTCCTATTGCCCTCTTTAATTACTTTACACCCTAACCATTCCACTGATTTGAATTTGTCTAACGTGATGGAATGATCTTCATCTAGCAATGTTAAGACTGCCTTCAGTGTCTCTATGTCTCTCTGTATTTTTCGACAGAGCTTTTTGTCACTATCAGAACACCATCTAGAAAAGCGTACGTTTATTTTGCATTTTGTCAGTGTCAGATTGATGAATTGCAGTT